ACATATGCATCAGCTTTATAAAGTCCAGTCTCCCTCACGCCGGTGGAATTTCACCGTCCAATCCAAGTCGCCGCAGGAGGTTGAACAACGAGCATTACTCGGACGCCAGTGAGCTGAGAAGGACGAGCACAGATGCAAGTTGTTGCCTGCTGCAAAGGTCCTCGACTCCAAATTAGCATTTAGTGTGATGTTATGAAGGAGGACTGACCTCTGAGTGTTTATAGACATCCTGTTGCGCATGTAAACTTAACACTTAAGTACATTTATTCAAGCCCAATTTTGAGCTACTTAACTTGACTTTTTCCATTTTACTTGAACTTTATATTTCAGGAAAATATTGTAATCTTTACCCCACTATATTTATTTGACAGATAAAAGTTCTTGTTACTTTAGAGAGTAACATTTTAAACACCAAAACAAATGATGAGATAATAAAATAAGATACGATGCATTGCTTTCAAATTGCCCAATATAGAAGTTAAAATTAGCTTGAAACGCTTCTTGCCCATACTGTAAATGTATTGGTGGAAAGTAACTTAATTATAGTATTTGAGCTCACTTACTCAAGTGCTGTAATTAAATTTGTTAATTAGGTTTTTCTTTTCATTATAGTTGTACATTTTAGAGGGAAATATTGTACTTTTTTACTTCACTACATTTATTTAACAGTGTTAACTTTGCATATTAAAATTGTACATACAAGGATCAACTTAATTTCATCTTAAATCTAAAATGTAGTGCATTATTATAGATTAAACTACATAAAGTAGTTAAAATTAGCTCCAATTTACAAAATGCACACAGCATGCACATTCAAATATCAGTATTAATGACTAAATAATAAAATACATACTAACCATTTTTCTGCATAATGAGTACTTTTACTTTTTATACTTTAAAAGGACCAGTGTGTAGGGTTTAGTGGCATTTAGGGGTCCAAGCGTGTAAGAGAAACTACAGGGGGGCCGTAAAATCGTGAAAGGCCCCATAGTCAGTGTTCGGTTTGTCCATTCTGGGCTAATGTAGACGCATGGAGGTTCAACATGGCAGAGTCTGTGGAAGAGGAACTGCTCCCTATGTAGTTAAAAAAAAACGGTTCATTCTAAGCTAACAAAAACCAAACAATGTTATTTTCAGGTGATTAAACACTAATGAAAGCATATCTATAAATGTTATATTCCATTTCTGCCAATAGATCCTCCTAAATGATACACACTGGACCTTTAAGTCAGTTGTGCTAATCATACTTGTTACTGTACTTTTAGAATAATTTTGAATACAGGACTTGTTTGCTTCAAAGTATTTTTGCACTTTGTATCATTACTTTCACTTATACACTTCATCCACCACTGTGTAAATACATCAGTTAAATACTAATTCAGTAAAAACATACTTTTGTTTGCTACTGTATTGCTACTTTTACACAAGTAAAGGCTCTAAATACCGCTGATAACAGGTCTCCTTTGAGATTGTACTTTACAAAAAAAACAAAGTTTCCATGTATGATTCAGCATCTCGTGTGGATTCATTACTGCTGTTGTCAGCCAGATGATGGGCACCAGTACCACGCTCTGTTCAAACTTTTGTCTTCTTGACATTCAGGTGATAATGTACTGGTTGATCTAATGACATTCCTCTGGTTATATTCCTGGCTGCTGGTCTAGATTTAGTACCGGCCATGTGAGAGGTCAGGAAAGCCTATCATCCTCTCCCCTGCACATCGGGCTCCCTGCTGTGCTGGTGGGTGGTCAGCTTGTAGAAAAGAAACAAAATTGATTTGCTTCACACTTCCCTTTTCTCCACAGGATTACTAAACCAAATATCTTCATTATTTCTGTCCTGCACACTGATGGAAAACACAGCACGGCCGAACCTGCTCAAAAGCACACGGCTCATGTGCTTTTACCTTCTAAGAGATAATGCTGACGCTGCTCAGAGGAGGTCCAGCAGTTGTTGATCTCTCAGATGACTTTGAACAGGCCTGCATGTTGACACTGTGGTACGTGTATATGATAAACATGATGTGTAATGTATTTGTACACTGTGTTCTGTACATTCTGTTCCATAGCTCTCAAGTGCAACACTGATTGTGCCACTGTCACCCCCTAGTGGTCAAAGAAGGCGGGATGCTAGTGTAATAATGCAACACCAAAAGAGGATACATCACATGCATATAATGCACACACATATATGGACTTGGGCACCCACAGACATAAGCATGGACTTTCTCATTTGGTTCATATTCATTGTGGAAAGAAAGGGAGTATTTGTTAAGCTCCACATAGAAGAATCCTCCTTGGTTGTCATGAAATTAACCCCAGATTTGTTTTGGTTTTTGTCTCCCCAGGTGTCTTTAACAGTCATGCAGAGGAAGCATTGTGAACCACAGCCTGTAGGTCAATCACTTACAATCAAAACCATCCAGGGTGCTTAATGGGTCTCTTATTCCCATTATTCTTATTCTCATACCCAAAATAATACTAATAACTCTACAAACAGTTTTCTGATGTACATGTAATATCAAGACAAAGCGAGAGGTATTGACCCACATTCACAGAAACCTTTGGACTGGAACAATTCAAACAATGACACATCTTTGCTGGATACCTCAGACTTTAGACAGAATATAGTACAACTACGGCAATAAAAATGATATTTAGCTTCTAGGAATGTTCTCAACAATCACTGAATTTAAACCAAATCAAAATAAGTCAACATAATTCATTACTTTAACAACTACACATATATGTCCCATTTTTAAACTGCAATGAAGCCTATATGATCAGTGAAGCACTCAAAGCCTCTTGTTTCTTCGTTATAACCTTTAAATGTCTTTTAAAGAAGGTCTGTTTTCTATAATGGCACTTCAGTCCATAGTGCATTTGTTGCTATTAATCAGCTAAATTATGACAAACTTCCACCACTACTTAAATCAGGATTAGCAGATTGTTGCTTAATAATAAAATCATATTAATAATTACTGCACATTTGCAATATTAGAAATAATTGCTTCCTCAAAAACAGATGTTCAAGGACTCTTATGCCACCTGGTGGTAATCTAAGGCTATAACATGTTATAATGTATATGTAATATTTAGTATTTGCTTTTTTAAAATCTGGAAAACATCCAGTCAGTAATTAATAAGCAAATATAAGTAAAAAATAAAAGTTAAAATAAATAACTGAAACAGGATCCAGGATATGTGGAAGATTCACTATGAGATCTTTCACCACCGTCTGTAGGCTGAGCTATAGTGAAAGGTGAGATCACAATATGCAAATACACCAGTGCACTTTAGATACAGACCTAGTGAGAGCATACGTTCAGCTGGTTATTCTGGATATAATGTCTTATTTTTGTCAACTAACTTCATAAGCATATTCATTTAAACCCCTCACTGCCGGTTCATATTTGATCTATATGCCCTTTACTGCTTTTTGCACCTTTGGTTTAATGCAAAACTGCATTAAGTCACTTCAGTACTTGTACTCTGTGCAAATGACAATAAAGTTGAATCTAATTTAATCTAATGTGTAAACCCCTTCTGATTTTGAACTTATTAACTATTTCCAGATCCTTTCCTGTAAGACATAATGCTCTAAAACGTCACTCTCATGCATGTTTACTTTAGTAATAAAACATTCACTGGTATACATGTTCTATTATTTTACAGTTATATTATATAATCCTGTTTGTGTCTATAATAAGACTCATGTTGGTCATGAAAGAAGCTGTGCTGCCTCTATAACAATCCACTGCTTTGGTGTGGTGTGTTAAATATTTGGGTGTGTCCTTTCCACTCATGAAACATGAGCTGCTCCAGCCACGACCAAACTGGCTGCTCTTCAAATAACCAACATCCAGTCTATGAGCATAGACGGGTCATCCATAGAACTGCATTCATAATTTATGTTGATCTTATGGATCTGTCCAGCCTTACAGCTTCATTACTGTCCAACTGTATGGTAATCAAAACCAGGAACAAGAGAGCTATAGGACTAATTAGATCCAATTTCTGTGGTGTATAATCAAGATTATCATCAAGGATACACCGGATAGCTTCCATAAATGTATAGCAAGTGCTATATTACCATTGTTGTAGTCAATATATAGTTGTTGGAATGCTTTAATCATTACTGCAATTAAAGAGATAATTTAGACATGTTAAAAAAAATTTAATGCAGTTGTTTCTCAGATATTAGCATACATGTATGAGCAAATGAGCAAAACAGGGTGTATCTCTGTAGTCAGCTGTGATGTTGTGGGCAGCTAGTGAAACATAATCAGTCATCAAAGCTTTATAAATCTCTCTTTATCTACACGACACTTGCTGGCCCTCTCGGGTTGCCAAGCGACAAGTCTGAAAAAACCTTGCAGTGCACCTGCATCTGACTGATATGCTGGGGTGGCCAATGAAAACAGAGGGGAGGACCTGCAAGTAAGTGGCCAGGTAGCAGTGGATGTTTGGTGGGATGGTATAAACTTCCATACATAAACTGCAGGCACGAATGTGTGCGTGGAGTTAATTGATGGGGGATTACAGATGAGATTACAAGTAATTGATGCATGTTTCCTTTCTGCTTAGGTACATTAGGAAGAGTTCAGACTCAACTTTGATGGAAACTGCTAATTTGGAAGGAGGGTTGCATCTTTAGTTATAAGAAAACATGAACTAGCTCAAGCTTCTGCAGCATAAAAATCATCTAACTAAGTTTACCATCTGAACATAAATATGTCAATAATGTGCATGTGTGAGTGTGTGTGTGTGTGTGTGTGTGTGTGTGTGTGTGTGTGTGTGTGTGTGTGTGTGTGTGTGTGTATCAGGGTTACAGGAGCCAGTCTACTAACACTGGCTGACAATGGACCTCTGGCCCTGGGAAAGAGACCCTCTGTAATATGCATGAGGAAATCTACACCTGTTTCCAGGTAACCAAGGCAGGGATTCTGAACCGTGACGCTGAATTTAGTGTGTGTGTGTGTGTGTGTGTGTGTGTGTGTGTGTGTGTGTGTGTGTGAGACAGTGTATGTACACCTGCGTGGGCGCATGCACAAACAGGACAGCTTCCTAGCTTTGCCTGCTCAGACACTCTGTGGGGACGAAAGCAGCTGTCAACCCTACTGGCTTGACGAGACACACATCAGTCTGAACAGGGGAAACGCTATGAAACAGTGCAGGCCTCGGTGCTGAACTTTACGCATGGAAACAGGTCAAAGTTGGCCCAACTGAGACGCGCCTGAAGCTGGAAGTGGAGACTTGGTGGAGGGTGGACCACAGAGGCATAAAGAGGTCTTCACAGAACTCTCCCTGAGTGCTGAGTATCTTTTTGTGCAACTATGAATCCGATGTGGAAGGTATATAAGAGCAAAGTGCTAAAGACGCTTAACCCCGAGTATGAAGAGGACACTGCCGAAGAGGTATAGAATTTCCAACTTTCTCCATCTTTGTTCCTCTTACTGATTCATATGCATGTATTAAAGTGTCAGAAAGTTGATGTGGTTGTTGCCGTTGAAGTCAGAAAGTCACCAGGTTTTGTTTGCTGATCATTTTTTATTCATCACAGGATCAGATGAGCTTGCTAAGCTGTTTTGTTTTCTGTGCAATGGGAACTTTAAGACAGAAGTCAGTCAACAATACTTCCTCTTTTTGGGGATTTTGAGTCTGCTAACTGAATTATTAACTGATAAAACTGTGTTTTGTTAATATTTGCATGCAGATCTTCTCTGAACTCTTCTGTTTCCAGTGTCAAAGATGCATTCCAGTAGTAGATAGTAGTAGTCACAACACCAATAAAGCAGCCTTTAACTGTACTTAAAGGCAACATAATAAGGCATGTTCACAGTTTTCATCAGCGATGGAAAGAAACCAATTAATATTTTATGATGATAAGCTTGTAAAAGAGTACAGTACATTGTTAAAGATTAAACCAGTGGTTCCCCATTTTTTTGCCTGGTGACCCCTTACAGACATTTCCCTGTGTGTAACTTTCCCAGATGAGGTCATTTGAATAATTGTTTGAGGCCCAAAGAGGTACTACCCCTCAGATTTATCTTGCCACCCTTTAGAGGGGAGCCAACCACTGGATTAAACTACCAAATTGTATGTAAAGTAATTGAAAGTAGGTATACAGTAAAATTATGATTATTGCATCAGTAATAGTTTTAACTGAGTCTTTCACATTGTCGTGCTGCACTTAACTTAACGAAACCACCGGTTTTCACAGCCTCATTGCAACACCTGCACTTCATCCAGAGTTTGGTACCAACGAAACAGACACAGTGTTGCGTTGACCCAGATCTCTGGAGGGCTGAGAAACTCGATCCTGCACGGGAGCTGAACAAACGGATTAGTTGGCCTTCCACTGACTGACGGACATGGGGGAACAGGACAGATAGCCAGAGCCTCGGGGTGGACTGAGACCAAACTGTGGTTTCTCGCAATGCCAAGGCATCTAGATGGGGTGACAGGGAATACTCTGTCTGGAGAGATAGTTTCCATTTAGATGGATGTGCTGAGTTGTCATCGATGTTATTTGAGTCGACATTGCTCCACACATAAAATTTTACTACTATGAACTCTGACTGTCAAAACATACACTGACGTGGAAATGCTATTCAAGTCCTGACATATACCAAAAACAATATGAGTAATGAAAAGTAGTAAAAAACAGTATCTGACTTTTTAATGAACATTTCTTCATGTTCACAGTCACTGTTCACTGGGTTTTCTACAGGTTGTAGTATCCACAATATGCACTAGATGGCGACCAATGTGTACAAATCCTGAGCATCTGTATTAACATCAGACAGTATGGTGGAAATAAATTCAGGACATTGCTGTGTGGTGCATCCATTTTGTCTGTCTGTCCATTGCAGGTAACAGAAGTGGAGAATGATATGATGAGCCCGGTGCAGGAGGATGAGGGACCTAACGCTGTATCCCAGTTGGCCAAAAAAGTATGTGAACATTGACAACTCTTACTTAATCTTTAGAACATTTTATATTACAAAAAGTTAAAGTTAACCTTAGAAGACAAATACAGATTAACTGTACCCGACTGCACCAGTGTTGTGTCATTAATGAGTAATTTCATTATAAGTGGTGGTGAAAATCATTAAAGTAAAGAGGACCATTGTTCAACTTATCCTCTGAAACCACCTACAAGTATTTGACCTTTGACCCCATGTGTGTGGTTTGTTGTGTGTCCAGATGCAGGGGGCCGGGACTAAAAGCTGGAACAGGCTATCATCTCTCTTCAACAAAGAAGATGAACACCAGCTTCTAGAGGAGACTGAGAGCCCGCCTGTCGCCGACCAGTGAGTGGAAATCTTTGTTTTCCTGGTCGGATGTCATTCGTGCACCTTGTACTGTCTGTAGGGTTTGTGTATGTTAAAAAGTGCTGGTTTTGTGGAACTGTTTTTTTATGGTTTCTGTGTGTGATATATATTCAGATCACAATTTCATGATATTCTGGCTGTGATCAGATTAAAGTTTTAATCAAACAGCACTTCAGTGAAGCCCAAATAATGTTGTAGATAAACTTCAATACCAGAATTTATCTCACTGATAAACTGAAGAATAAGGAGGTCTAATTAAATATAACTAAAACTATAATCTCAAGACTATGAGCTTTGATTTGTTGCAAATTTGGTCATCACTCACCATTAAATGTGATGCTACAGCCAGCAGTCGGTTAGCTTAACGTCTGAAAATTGGAAAGAAAAGCTGCCGTTGTCCCAGGTAACATGAAGGTGATACTGAATGCATATGCATTTCCCCCAAAATGTCAGTCTGTGAATGTGAAGTGGGTCCTAACTACACATTTAAAGAGTAACTGAAATGTTGTTGAAATAAGAATCATATGTAACCTAGATCAGTGGTTTTCAAACTGGGGTCAAGGGATCAACAGTGGTTTTATTGGGTCCCCAGAAAAAGGAGGAATAGAGTATTCTAACTTTTATCACATTTTTTGAAAGTTGGAACAAGGGAAGACATACGGTGGGCGGTTTTACTGATAATATATCGTTTTTTTTAATTGTAATTGATAGTGATTGATAGTGATTAATCTAAGACTATTAAGACATTATTTTAAAACCTAAAAATAAGAAATCCCCTCTGAGTGGTCTGATGTGCATCTATTATGGGGATCCCTGACATTAATATGTTTGTGGACCACTGATCTAGATGTCTAATATTGTTTGATTTTAAAAAACGTCTGCTACTAGGGTTGAATACTTTAAAACATAAACTGGGCTGCTACTAATACTGTGTGTCCCACATTCAAATCTTATTTTTAACCGTTTTTTCTGCTGAGTCCTGTATGATTTAAACCGCAATCTGCTCACTATCAGTCAGTATAACTAATGAGTAGAGCACTAGAATAAGATCTAAAACCAGTCAGTAGACGTGGTGAATTCCAAGCCACAGCACCCACCTATATTTGGACTCCTAAATTGAACTTTCTCTGAATCCTCAGTCCACTTGCAGTAAAGCCGGAGGAGCCTCCTCGACCCAGTCGGCGCTCAGGATTCTGGGATAGCTTCGCAACCAACTGGGCTGCCAAGAAGCAGGCAGAAGCTGCAGCCGCTGCTGCTGCAGCAGACGAGGCAGCAGCAGGCCAGGGTGAGGAGGGGGTGACACAGGGCGGAGGGGAGGAGACCCAGGATGGGCAGATCACTGAGGGAGAAGAGAGTGAAGGAGGAGGACGGAGCAGCAACAACAGCTTCTCCAAATACGTCTCCCTGGGAGGAGGCGGAGGGGACGCATCCTTTAAATGGAACTTTGTCACCAGCAAGCTGGCAGAGCTGAAGACCAAGACCAACTAGCATGACGAAGGAATCTGTAGAATATAAACAATATGATGAAGGGGTTAGATGTTGGAGTGTGGAGGAAGTTTAGGAGGAGGGTATATTTTACACAGGATGTCCTGTAACTAAACTACAGCTATTGTAGACGTCCCTTTTTATCACATTCTGAACTATTGAACTTATGCCCATAAAATGTCTTTTTACAACCACATCACAATGACCAAATAAAGCTCCAATAAACCAGGATCTTTTTTAACCTTTACTTTCCTCATGTGCCTATTTAGGACACTGATATTTTCAGGACACAAATAAAAAACAGTCTTAAGATGATTTTTTAAAATTAAATCTTAAAGAGGAAGGGCATAATTCACACCTGAAAATGAAATCTCTCATGTCCCTGTATGTACAGTGTATGTAGAGACACCAAGTACATAAATACTACTAGAGTTTACTTCATGAAAGGGACCTTCTAAAATCAATTGTACTAAAAGAGAGATACTCTAATTGATGATATTATTTATTTTTCTTTGGAGATTAGGTGGGTGTACTATGCAAATCTGCAGGCAGAGCTAATAGTCTCTTTAACAGCTTGAGACACAGCATGTAGCCACCAGTGTAACAGGTGATCAGTACGTTAAAGGTAAATACAACAGATACTTTATAAAGCGTCGAACCTGGTATATAGGCTACACAATACAGTCCGCTTTCTAGGGGTTGTATGATGGTATCTTCCTTCCCAAAGTGCTTTTTAAGCCACAAAAAGGGGCCTTCACACCTGTCAGCAAACTTGATCTAATCTGTAGTTTTGCAAAAACTGGATTAAGAGATTAAAGGTGGTGATAGCTGAATTATTTGGGGATTATCTCACTTAACCTGATCAGAGGGCATGGGATTTCAGTTAGGAGATTTGGCCGTGCGACATAACTATTACATAACTTAAGCATTTATAAGTCTCTCCTCAGACATCAGGGAGGGTAAATGTGCTGCACAGTTATATGAAATGTGTAAAATATGAACGTGTGTGTGGTGAGATAATGTCAGGCGCGCTGACACGATGACTTAACTGACTTGAATTTTCTGATTGTGACTGAGACTGACATGTGCAAAGTGTGAGTTTTTAAACATTCCTAATTTTGTGACATGAAAGAAATGAGGCTTTAAATATTTTATCTCAGATTTCGGTTTTGATCTTGATGTATGTTTTATTCTGTTGTTTTGTTTTCTGGTATCCTATAATAAAGACTGTTGCACTAAAACAAAGAAAAAACATGAATGAGCAAATGTAATTTTTGTTTCTTCTGCCAAACAGGATGAAAATCAAATCGTTTCCAAAACTGGAGAAAAAGTTAATGTTTTTATCAAGATAGATGCCCTTACAATAGAAATTAGACTCTTTTTTGCAGCTTTACTCAACTTATTTTTTACATCAGACAAGCTTAAATTAAGTAATTAGTGTTTGAAACTATCACCTTTTTGGGTAGTACTTTCTGTACCTTCCCTCTCTTATTTTTCTGCCTTCACTGAACAGAAATCACAGAACTATGTCCCCCATAAGGTTTGCAGTCAGCCAAAAAAATACAGCGAATGTCAGTAGCAGTGATACAGACTAATGGATGATCAGAAATGTGTTGTCTTCTTATAGAGAGTTGATTCTGGTTAAAACCTTAAAAGTGATTAAGAAAACTTACAAGAGCCCAAAACATCACGTTGTAATTTACTTAATTAGGGTGTTTCCAGAAAAATATCTCTTATGGATGCTAATATGTAGAGTTTCTACAGCAGTGGTTCTCAACCTGGGGTCCAGAGACCCCCAAAGGTCACTGAGGGGTCTCCAGGTGGTCCCCAGAAAAATGGGTAATATTTTAATTTCACTATTATTTAACTGACTAGAAGTTAGCCCAGTGAGATAATGTAGAATAATGATCATTCTGTTCATAGTTTTCACACTCTTCACTGTTAATCTGCCCATCTGCAGTATAGACAGTTATGGAATAACTAAATCTTATCAGGTGGGGGTCCCTGAGACTGTATCTTATCAAATAAGGGTCTGCAGCTTGATGTGTATCAATTTGGGGAAAAATACTGACACGTTTTTTGCTTTAAAAGGTTTTATTGTGAAATATTTGCTTTGCATCTTGACATTTAGCACAGAGCATTTCAGAAACAAGTGGTAGCTCTTGTTTTCGAAAGGCCTCTAAATGCTTTTCATGACTCATGAACAGCATGAATAGTCAACAGTCAACATTTTCACACAGACAACCATTTGATTTTGTTTGGTTTTCTCCAAAGAAGGGGACATCTAACATTTCAGTTAAAGATCTTTGAAATCAATCACATCAGAAAAATACATAATTTCCAGTTTACTTTTGTTGCTGTCTTTACGTCCCCAGAGGCTCTGATTGACAAACAGGGTACACCTGAGCTGATTGACTCTTCAGGCAGGAAGAGTGAAACCAGCTGCAAGCACCAGATACTTCATTTAGATTCATGTTTGTAGGTCACTGGTAGCCCTGTGTTTAAGATTTGTTTAGTTTTTGGGCAAAGCTCTGTTGAGTACCATTGTAATAATAGATCATCTGGGCTTTTGCATTTTCCTTTTGTCTGAGGTGTAATTTGGCTCTTTAACAAACATTTAAAATTTAAAATCAACAGAAATGTGTGAGTGTGATTTCAATCTATGGTGCCTCTAACCAGCAGGGGGCTCCCTTTACCTTTTAACTGTAAAATGTTACCCTTTGACTGCCCTTCTATCACATACACATTCAATAAAACTAATCATCTATAATCGAGCCAAAAATCAGGTCATATTCCCTGTCAGTGATATTTAAACATTCCTCTTTCATCCCTCTTTTATTTCCTGTTTTTTCCTCATCTACACCCATTTCCTCCCACACTCTGCCATGTTTCCTCATATACATACAATACTGTTTCCTTTTCAATTTGGAGGCCTTTGTTGACATTTCCATTTGAATTTGAAACTACACCCTAATAAAAGGAGGAGATTACGTGAGCAAATGCACCCGAAGCTCGAGTTCATGTTTTTTTTTAGCTGAGCAACCTCCATTATTTCCATGTGTTTCCAGTGTCAGTCAGATTTCAGGCTGTCATCGTGGATCCTGTGAAAGTCAGTGAGTCTCAGTAGTTTTATCCAGACTTCCACAGTTGTTAGTCTCAGTTTGAGTCAGAACAGATCTTTCTCCTACTCACTCAGTGACATGCTCAGAGTTTCGGACATATTTATGTAACTCGCCCAGATTCTGTATCAAAGACCATAAAACAAGCTCAGGAGCCAGTAAATTTATTCCACAAAAGCTTATTTTTTGGAGGTCAGGAGAGTGGCTCGTTTGAGTGAAAGCTGATGACTATTTGATGCTTGTGTGCGGTGCTGAGGTCCACATTGCAGTTTTATGACACCAAGTGAGCGACACTCAGTGGAAATGAGGTTTGTAGAGCATGAAAGCATTAGAAACTGAGAGCTATGGTTGGCAGTTTGAGCAAAGGGGGGAAACTGTGGTGGAAGTGCAGAAAGACTAAACCGGATGGATGAGATGTCTCAAGTCACACTTAAAATGTGACTTTGGGATCTCTGAAATTATGTGCTTGTTATCATAGAAGAAACACATTTTCCAAGTCATTCTACTTTTAAGTAGATATTAAGTACTGTAACCACCTACTTTTTGCTGAATACGAAATTAAAGGTCCAGTGTGTAACATTTAGGAGGATCTATTGGCAGAATTTGAATAAAACCTGCACACCAGTAACTATGTTTTCATAAGAATCATGGTGTTTGGGTTTTTTTTACCTTAGAATGAGCAATTTTCCTTGGAGAAACACTGGCACTAGATAGGGCCTTTCACATTTTTTGCATGTTTTGCGGCCACCGTAGTTTCTCCTTCTCACTTGAAAGGGGAGGGTGAAGCGAGAAAGATGCAATCTACAACTACACCACTAGAAGCAAATACATCTTACACACTGGTCCTTTAAAGTAGCATTAGCCTAATTGATTTTTTACCCATTTGTGGGCAGGGGATTAACCTGTAAACAAAAAGACATATTACCACCTTATTACCACAGCTGCCTATTTATATACACAGCAGGCACAGAGTCACATTATTGTTCATAGTGTTTTTAACTGCTTAATGTTCCACTGTGTTCACCATGAAGTGACTAACTTTGTCGCTAACTTCGTAATTTTCACTGAAAACACCTACCTGCTACTGTAAACCAGTTTGATGAGAGTGAACGACGCATGTTAACACATGTTGGGGTGAATGACAATTTGAAAATGAAAAAAAAATCTGGGGGTGTGAACTCAGCTTACCATCATTCTCCAGTCCAACAATGTTGTACAGTGTACAGTGATAAATCTGAGTACTCCTTGAAATGCTCTAGAACTGAGGGGAACTGTAGAGCTGTCACTGCGCATTTCATTTTACATTACAATCATTTGATCCATTGTTAATATGAAAGTATCTGTTGTGCAGCTTTTAAGAGCAGCATGCTGTTGTGGCACAATTACAAAGATAATCAATGCATGAAATAGCTTTCTGGATGGAAATTTACATTCATATTTTGTGGTTATGGTCGGGATGCCTAATAACTTTTCGCTCTTTCACACTGATCATGTGACCAAAAAATAGCATACAGTAGGTCAGTAGCTTCTTCACAAGCTTAAAAATCACTTATCAGGGCAAAAGTTGGGTTATAGCCTTTACTTTGTCTTCTTAAATGCCTTCAGTCCACCCCCACAGTTGTTTTCATCATCTCAAGACTGTGTGAAGCTGTGCTTGACTGGCATCTCATTTACAGCACAGTCAGACCGAATTTCAGTGCCGTGACTCTCGGGATACATTACATTCATTTGGCAGACGACTTACATTTTTACCCAAACATACACACATCAGGAGCAATTTTACAGACTCAGTGTCAGTGACTTTTTTTTATATGCATTTGGACCAACCCCGGTACCCCCGGTACCTTTTTCACTGAATGAAATCCAACTCTCATGCACAAATGCTCACACCTTGTCTTCAAAGTGTCTCTTTCATCATTTGTTGTCCTTTCAGACAGGTGTTCACCCTTTTGCCATTTGGCTCACTTTTGGCTCTCCGTGTAGCACAAACATTTCCCCATCCCCCTCCTACACAAAAAACATCATTCAGACACAGTACTTTCCTTTTTCTGCTGATGACTAAACTGCTTCACACCTTGCCCTGGGCTCTGTTCCACAAACTGTAATTACTTCAAACAAAAGCAGCCCACAAAGTTGTGTGAGCCTGCTTTAATTGTTGCACATAACCCACAATGCCTTTCCTTCTCTCTGCTGGCTCTTCTGAACAGGAGATGGTTAGAGAAGATAGCAAGTTAAATCTGTTTATATCCATGATTGTCTTTTGTGGTGGGATTACCTTTGTAATTATGATGATGTACGGCAATGATAAATGGTAATTACAGCAACAGGTTAACGCTACAAATATGTAGTGGCTCTGATCAGAGCTTGTATATCACATTCTTTTTAAAGTTAAGTGCAAGCTTAAAATAAGTTTAGACAAGCTGAAACATGCAAGAAAATTAAAATTAGATTTATATTGCACATAGATCCTTTCTTGATTCCCTGAGGGAAATTTGGTTATCCACAAAACTCATTTTTTGGCAATTTGTATGCTGAAAAAAGAATGAAAAAACATCACATGAGGTCAGTGGGGCCATTTTAGAGACATGGTGCAGTTTGATGAATTTGGGTCAAACTACCATATGATTATGTTGTAAGTTGATGTTGCATTTCCAGCGCCTGTCCCTGTATGACTCCTATTGGCCAACACAAGACATAAATTATGCAGTCAAAGTGACCAGACTGTGCCAAATTCGGGGAAAGTTTGTCTTCAAGATTACAGCTCAAGGTTTCAAAGTTGTTAGGTTTATGAAATAACATCAGTCAGCGAGAAACACGCGTAAAGATTTGGCCCTGAGGTGTCGTCTCTCCGTCGCCGGCCCCCAGCTTGTTTTGTCTGTAAAATTTGAGATCAGAAGTTCGCTGGGAGAAGATTTACAGGTGAAATTATGGAACAGGGGGCTGTAAAAGCAAACAGGAAAGGTGATATTTGATGATTTTTTTAAACCACACACACACATTTCTTACATGAAAGCCAGACAGACATGTCTGGTAGCGCTCAGGTATGACGACGCTGTGGCGAGAGTCTCAACAGACACGGTGAGTCACACACTCCAGCAGCAGTCCCATCTGGAAACCAACCTGCG